GAGTAAGTATATACGTACGGGAAATCTTAATATATTGCCGCTGTTGGTCATCCACCATAGACGAGCTGATTTCTTTTTTTTTCTTTTCTTTTTTTGTCGATAATGGCTCGGGATCTCTAGTGCCCACGGGCGGACGGTCCTGGCGGAATACACACTGGTGGGAGATTGGGATAACAGGTTTTCTTTTGGGACGGATGGGACGGATGGGGTGAAACACCTGGTGATCGGATGTTTGTTCTTGTTTTTTGGTCTTTTTTTGATTTTGAGATACCGACTTGGGGGATGGATGGATGGACGGATGGGGCGCATACACGGGATATATACATGGCGCGCGGGAACAGATGCGTACATGACGGGTTCCCGGGACGAGGACATGGGGAGAAGGATGGGATGGCCTCGGATGCACGCAGACACGCATAGCTTCATGTGTGGATAGACGTGCTTGCTGCCACGGGAGGATGGGAAGAGATACCCTGCATGGCTTTGTTGCTTGCTTTGCTTTGCTTACTTGCTTGTTTGCGTTTTTTCGCTTTGGAAAGAAGAAGATTCAAACTCTACCTACTTGGATGACCTCGCTGTCTAAACCTCTGCACTGTGAAAACTACTCTACAGTACTCCTACTTACCTACTTACCTACTTCTCTCCCCACCCAAAGACAAAGGAAGAAGTCGCATCCAGCTACAACCCACAACCCACAACCCACCCACCAACCAAGTCACGCATACGCATACGCATACACATACGCACCCTCCCCCCCAATCCAATCGCCACAATCTCACAGCGATCAACCATAACAACCCACCACTATACCCCCAATCCCACCCCAACCCAACCCATCCCTATCCATCCATCCCTATCCCTATCCATCCCTATCCACGCGAACCTCCCTCACACACGACAAGGGCACATGACCGCCGGCGCGACCACCCCCGGCCTCGAGAGGGCCGAAACACGCGTGCTGCGACCAAGGGACCAAGGGCGAAACAGGGCGACGCCCGCCGCCCACCCTCTCCTGGCGCGCGCGCGTGTGCACTGTGCGCGGACATTGCGGTTTGCACACAGACGCGGACGCGGCCATGGTCTTGGTCATGGTCATAGTCGTGGTCATGGTCTTGGGTGAAGGCGCCCTGGCGCTCCACACTAGCTTGCAACTGCTGCAAGCCTGCAAGCAGCGCAGCTCGAGCCAGGCACTAGGAGTAGTTACCTGGCTAGTTGACTTGACTGACTTGACTGCGTACGTACAGGGTATACTAGGCCGCCAGCGAGGCATATCAGCCTGGGCCACCGGCGCCTCACCATTGTACGGTAGTGAGCGCGCCTCCAGAGCTGAGAGCTCACCAGAAACGATGATCTTGATCTCTCGATCTACCGTGCAACGGTAGTTACGCACGCGCTGATGAATGCATGCCTTTCGTGTCGTTTTCTCGTTTCAAATGTCTGCTAGGTTTTCCATTTTCTTCTTCGTTCGAGATCCGCTTGACCCTAGCTCGCCTATCCTATCCTATACACCTATATCCATGCCCGTTCCGACTCCGTAACTATGTATGCGTCGGTCCTATAATGCTCTTCTTCCTCCCCGACCCAGGGCAGAGAAAGAAAAAAGTCTTGAAACCCTTTTGCGTGCCCATGTCCCCCCCTGCGTGCGCCGGATTAACTAACTAAAGAAGTAGGTACCGCGTTGCTTGGACACCGCACACGCCAGAAAATAACGACATTCTGTGACCTTGACCTTGACCTTGACCTAACCTTTTGACCCTTTTTTTGTTGCGTTCCCACCCAAACAAAGCTCTTGTCGCTGAAGGGGAATCAATCAATCAAGTACGCAAGCAAGCAAGCAAGCAAGTGAGTAAACAAGCAAAACAACAACAACAACAACAACAACAACAACAACAACAACAACAACAACAACAACAACAACAACAACAACATGACGCTGAGCCTGCAATGATGCCGAAAAAACGCAAAATAATGAAAACTCCAAACCAAGACTTTTACCCAGAAACGCCTTTTGTGTGATGGCATGCTGCGTCGCACTCATCCGCTGACCTCGGTGGCAGTGCCCTCCTCGTACCTCTCTTCGTCGTCAGACTCGTCAATTTGTGACTCGGAGTCACTGTCCTCTTCGTTCTCCTGGTCGAGGCCAGGGATACTCTTCCACTCGTTATAGTCGCCCTCGACCCATCGCTTGCTGCGTGGCAGGTTGTACGGATCGAAGGGGAAGTATGCGTCCAGTTGCAGGGCGCTTTCGTTGCTCTTGACCGAGAGCGCGGTTTCTCGCTCTTGCAGGCCGCCGTACATCATGGCAGAGGTGATGGAGCGCGCCAGACGCAGCCGTTTGTTCGTCTCCAGGAGCGGGTAGACGTAGACGAAGCGGAGGTGGTGTGCAATACGAGCGAATTGCGTGACGATGGCCGGCGAGCACACCTTCAGAGGGTTGAACTTGGAATAGATGTTGCGTGTCATGATTTCCTTGATGCCAGGACTCCATGTCACCTCGCCGCCTTCGTACAGAATGTCCTCGTCATCCGGGTACTGGTCTGTGTTACTGATGATAAGATCCCGCCAGCGGAAGCAGAAGATGTAGAGTAGTGCCTGCGCCAGTGCGTAGTAGCCGCCATAGCGCCGGAGGTCGGGACCCTTGCAGTTTGCCTCTTGCGTATATCTGAAGTGGTCGAGGTGGCGACCCAGAATATCGAAGACGTCGCGGACAGTGGACGCGGGAACATGCGCACCGCGAGCGATAAAGCTAGCCAAGTATGCAGCCGCCGCGAGACGCATGATTTGTGGACGAGTTTTGTCGAAAGCCAGATGGGCACAGGCACCAGCGAACCTATCGATAAGGACAGGCGACGTTTGTCCAAAGTGAAAGAGGAGAAACTGAGTATGGCGCGAGCGGTATGTCGGGAGGATTGTGTTGGCAAACTGGGATAGCAGAAGCTCAAAGGTCTCCTCAGCATCGACAACGGTGCTCTTGACGAAGATTTGATGGTAGTATTCGAAGAGAATGTCGAGAATGGAATCCATCTTGCTGACAGACGCCTTGAGGTCCTTGATGCGCTTCTCATCGTCGGCGATGCTGTCCTCGCTCGATACGGATTCATTATCGCTGTCATCAGGATCCGCCTCATCTTCGTCGTCTGTTTCGTCGCCCATCTTCTTCGCCATGACCTCTTGTACCAGGTCTTCCTCGATATCTTCTTCGAGATCCTCCATATCGACCTGAATTTGGACGTCTATCTTGACGAGCCGCTCAGTTATCAATGCGAGGACGGCGCCTTTAAGCTCCGGCGCGTATGCTGTCAGGTCAAGCATGTTTTGGATGTAATCGATATGTGCTTTTGAAGTGTCCGTGGAGAACGGGAAAGCAGTTGCCAGAATACCCGAAAGTACGCCACTTGCGGAAGGAATAAGCTTAAGTAAGTGCTTCAGAGACTGGTGAACACGTTGCCTCAGTTGCAGACGCTTTATCGCAGGGTCGGATGCATGGCGGATGTTGGGAGATGGTACTGTACGAGCGTCAGTCGGGACGCCCGAGACGCGAGCGAAGAACCCACTCACGTTCAATAAAGTACTTCACGAGCATTTGAAGAACCTGCGCGGTGTAGCCACCATGCGCCGACATCAAGCTCCCCAAAAGAGTGATGTAGAGCGTCTTGAATGACACGTCGCGTGTCAACCACTGACAGTCCAGTATCGCGTGAACGAGCCCGGAGCAGTTCTTGTTGAGCAGGCTCACATTGCTGATGAGCGCAACCACATATTTTGACAGCAGCTTGGTCGATGGAGCATCTGAGGCAGTGGGTTTGGTGGTGAAGAGTTGCTTGATCTGGTCGTATCCAGCGCTATCGCCTGCTACGTGCTTCTCTATGCCGCGTTTCACTTCCTCGCGTACGAGCTCCAGGCCCTTCTCATCGTAATCTTCCAGGATGCGAACTTCGACCGCGGGGTCGAATGCGACCTTGTGTCGCTTTGCCTGACTCACGGCAAATTCGTCGTCTTCGGAATCGGTTTCTGTGGTGTACTTTCGCTTGAGGCTGGCGATTGGAGTTGCCGTCGATGACGCCATTGCCGAAGCTGGAGCAGCGAGCGATACCATGTCGTCACTAAAACATGCTAGTACGCTTTAAAATCCCATGCGGTGTTGATGCTGATCAATAGTGCGGTGCGAAGGACTAGCGGTCGACGAGGCAAAACTGCTGGGCAGTGTTAAGCGGGTGGTATCGATATGGAAGCAGAATGACCGATGGGCGACAATGGCGAAGGACAGCAGCGTTGGGCGGGTGGTGGTTGTCGTTAGTGAAGTGAAGTGCGTGTGCCAAGGTGTGTCGTGTGTGTGATGAGGAAGGTGGTGAAGGGACCGAGAAATCTGAGTTAGCGCCAACACGCGGGCCAGACCGATACGCGAGCGCAGGCCCTGAGGCACGCGCGCCCTAAGAGTACAGGTAGGCACATATGTACAACACCACAACGCGCCCGATTCGCATTCAACGGACTTTCAGATTCAAAGCTATCAGAGAAAATTATTATCGCCATCTTGTTTCCAACAATGCGGAATTGGCAGAGTATGTTGCGGATAGGCTCCAACAACGACCGCTCCAACGATACATATAGCCGCAGGTTGCTAGTGGAATTCCAAGCCTGTCAGTCTTCCGCTAGGGGATATTTCCCCTTTTCGAATTAAATCGCTTCTCATACTTCATAACTGCGTGATCGAGCGCAGGCAGGGTGCAGGCATTGGTGTTGCTGGCTACTGCACGTTTCCTCCCCATTAGTTAGTATCCTGCGGACACAGTTAGCATACACGCGTCATTGGGCGGCAAGGGATGAAAAAGAAGTGCACGGCGAACGTACCGCTCTGCTATTTTCTGGAGCCGGCACTCTCAGAGTGGCTCGCTCCTTCTCCTCTTCCCTCGCCTCCCTTGCCCTGGCCGCTCGTCCCTCCTCCTCCCGCTCCCCCTCCCGCGCCTTCACCCCCGCCCTCTCGCTCCGCGTCGCCTTTCGCCTGCATGATCCCATCCGCATCGCCTCGCAGATTCTCGAAATAGGCCTTGATATCCTCGGCGCCGACAGCGCGACCACTTTCCGCGAACGGTTTCAGAAACTGCTTCACCTGGTCTTTGAGGTGATTGTACACCATTACACCCTCAATTGCGCGCACCCGGTCCATGTTGCTGAGTGCGGCTTCGCCACGGTCGAGTAGCGAGCGCGAGCCTATGCTGCCGGTGCCGGCGCCGTTGGCGTCGCCATCACCAGAGGCGGAGGACTCGGATACGGGAGGTTCATAGGTGTCTTCTTCGTCGAGGAGTTGGGGATGCGGAGAGAGAAGGGGAAAGCAGGTCGAGCAGCGGCAAAAGTGGCTGCGGAAATCTTCCTTGAAGAAAAGGGAGAAGGGGGCGCTTGAGGTGAAGGTGGGGAGTGCTGCGTAGCGGCAGGAAGAAGTTGTGGAAGTAGTAGTGGTGGTGGTGACAGCCGGATCTTCGGAGCTGCGCGGGCGCTTTGTGGGTTCAGCGGAACTAGTGTCATCTTCTTCTGCCTCTGAGGCCTTGCGCTTCTTAGACGACTGGTCCTCGTCTGATGTAGTTGTGGTTGTGACTGGGGCCTCGGGTGGAGCTCCTGGTTTAGTATCCGGCGCGGCACCGTTGCCGCTGTCTAGCTTATGGTATACAGGCGGAAGGAAGCCCTCCGTACCTGCATATCGTTTGATCCATGAAAAGGCTTCGACGCACTTGTAGCAAACGAAATGCTCGAAACCGTCCTCTTCGGGAAAGCCGGGCGGATTTGGCGGCTCCTCTCCCTCTTCTGCAGCACCTTCCTCGCCCTTAACGACTTCACCACCTTCGTTTTGTGTTATCTCTTTTCCATCACTCCCAGCAGCAGCGGCACCGTTTGCTTCACCACCCATGGTTTTGCCATTCTTCTCTGCATTTTTTTTGTACCAATCACGCGGCAAACCCACGATACATTCAGGGTGCCACCAATCTTCTCCACACCCGCCTTGCTCGACAGTGCCCAAGCCCAAGCATTGGAACATTGTACCCTTCTCTTCGTGTGCATCATAATCCTGACCACATCCACAGAAATGGTTCTTGTAGTTGTGATCGTAATGGTTTGTCGTGGCTGGTTCTTCGCCACGCACGTCGCCCTTGATGCCAGCCTTCTCATTGATACGTAGTGTGCAGGGGCAGTCGGACTGTATGCGCGACGTTCCACAGTCGCAGACAAAATTGCGCTTCGCGAAAAGCTCGACAAGAGTGTGTTCGCCATGACATGAGACGTGACAGGAGTAGCAGACGCCAGCAGGAGTATAGGGTTCGTCAGGCGATGTCGGAGGCGGGTTACAGGTCAGGCAGGACCATATTTTCTGGCGCAATGGCCCGAGTGGCCGGGAGCAGGTGTCGAATTGGTAGGGCAGGACTTCGCGCGCGTCAGCTTCGAGCTGGAGTTGGCTGTTAATGAATTCTTGGGCCGTCTGAGAATTTTCGGAGAGGTGAGAAATGCTGTTGGATCGCGTAGCTTTTGCGACGGAACCTGGAGCATCGGACATGGTGACAGTAAGTGTGGAGGGATGCAGGATGATGGAGTGTTTGTTGAAAGCGTACCCGCGCCATGATGCGCCCGCGCCATGATGCGCCCGCGCCAAGAAACACTCATTCTTCCTGAAACAGCCTAGCGCGGCGCGAGACGCGAAAACACGTCTTTTGGACGCGCAGACCATTCTCTCTTCTCACCACAGCAACGACTCATATACCCCTCCAAAAAAGCCATTTACGTCCCTCTTAGCTCTTTTCAGCCGCTGCAAATCAATTTCCCCCATATACCCTCGCATACGTTGAGTTCAGCATGAGGTACGCCCCCGCCTATATTTGAAGAGCTCCGCTTGGGCCCCGTTGGCCGGGCGCCGAAGCTTCATCGGCCGCTCAAATATTCCTCAGTGCTTTGTTGACAACAACACAGTTCACCACTGCGCTCCAACATGTCTTCCGCAAACCGTGGTGCCTCGGGCGCCAACCGCCGCAAGCGTGATCGCGAACCAGACGACGACATTCCCTCTTCCTCGGCGCTGCCGCCCTCCAGTCGTAAGTGTAAACACAGGTTGCGCAAACACAACCCCGCTAATCGTCATTGCAGCGCCCGCTTCTTCTCCACCAGTCTTCCCTCAGGACATCGAAGAGGACACTGTTGACCCCGAAGAGGAGGACCTCATCGGAGATATCGACGATGCGGATGAGATGGCCGAGGACGAGGCCGGCATTGATCTGTTTGCCGATAACTTCGAGAGAGACTACCGCGACCGCGAAGATGACGAATATGATGCCCGCGATATTGACGACGAGGAATATGATACTATGGACATGGCGCAACGCAGACAGTTGGAAGCCCGCCTCAACCGTCGGGACCGGGAATTGGCTCGCCAGCGCCAAATGCCTGCTGCGTATCTGGACGACGAAGACGACCTTGGCACTTTGGCAAGACAACCACGCCGTCGTAGGCATCGCTACGATGAAGAGCAAGATGATGTGGACATGGATGGCAATATCATGGAAGAAGAGCTTTCGTTGGAAGCCCTGCAGGACGTCAAGGCCGCGAGTTTGACGGACTGGGTCGCTCAACCACATGTGCGCAAAACAATTGCGCGCGAGTTCAAGTCTTTCCTGACTGAGTACGTTGATGAGCCTGGAACCTCCGTTTACGGTACACGAGTCCGTACGCTTGGTGAGGTCAACGCCGAGTCTCTGGAGGTTTCTTTCGATCACCTTGCCGAATCCAAGGCTACTTTGGCCTATTTCCTCGCCAACGCACCTGCAGAAGTCCTCGGAATCTTCGATGAGGTTGCCATGGACGTGACGCTGCTCCACTACCCCGACTACGAACGCATCCATTCCGAGATTCACGTCCGCATCACCGATCTTCCTATCAACTACACCCTCCGTCAACTTCGTCAGAGCCACCTGAACTGTTTGGTCCGCGTGAGCGGTGTCGTTACTCGTCGCAGTGGTGTATTCCCTCAGCTCAAGTACGTCAAGTTCGACTGCACTAAATGCGGTGTAACCCTGGGGCCTTTCCCTCAGGATTCTAGTGCCGAAGTCAAGATTTCCTTCTGCCAAAACTGCCAGTCTAGAGGACCATTCACGTTGAACGCGGAGAGGACTGTGTACCGCAACTACCAAAAGCTCACACTTCAGGAATCTCCGGGCACTGTGCCAGCTGGTAGACTCCCCCGACACAGGGAGGTCATTCTTCTGTGGGACCTCATCGATTCTGCCAAGCCAGGAGAGGAAGTCGACATTACGGGTATTTACCGCAACAACTACGACGCACAACTCAACAACAAGAACGGTTTCCCTGTATTCGCCACAATCCTTGAGGCGAACCACATCATAAAATCTCACGATCAACTTGCTGGATTCCGTCTTACCGAGGAAGATGAGCGCGAGATCCGGGCTCTTTCGAGAGACCCTAAGATTGTTGACAAGATTGTCAATTCTATTGCACCGAGCATTTATGGGCACACCGACATCAAGACTGCTGTTGCACTGTCACTGTTTGGCGGTGTTAGCAAGGTGGCCCAAGGCAAGCACGCCATCCGTGGTGACATTAATATCTTGCTCCTCGGTGACCCGGGTACTGCAAAGTCGCAGATTCTCAAGTATGTCGAAAAGACTGCACACAGAGCTGTTTTTGCAACCGGTCAGGGTGCCAGTGCTGTGGGTCTTACGGCGAGTGTTCGTCGTGATCCCATGACATCTGAGTGGACTCTCGAAGGTGGTGCACTGGTGCTGGCAGATAGAGGAACTTGCCTCATCGATGAGTTCGACAAGATGAATGACCAGGATCGGACTTCGATTCACGAAGCCATGGAACAGCAGACAATCTCCATCTCCAAGGCTGGTATTGTCACTACCCTGCAAGCTCGATGCGCCATCATCGCTGCGGCCAACCCTATCGGTGGTCGCTACAATAGCACAATTCCTTTCAGTCAGAACGTCGAATTGACCGAACCCATCCTTTCTCGTTTCGACATTCTGTGTGTTGTGCGGGACACCGTAGATCCAAACGAGGATGAACGTCTCGCCAACTTCGTTGTCAACTCACACGGCCGCGCTCACCCTACCAATGCCGCTGCCAATCCCAACTCTATGGATCTCGATGGCGACGAGCAGAGCCAGGAGGGCGAGATCCCGCAGGAATTGCTGAGGAAGTACATTTTGTACGCAAGAGAAAAGTGCTCTCCCAAACTGTACCAGATCGATCAGGATAAAGTGGCTCGCCTGTTTGCGGACATGCGTCGCGAATCTCTTGCGACAGGCGCGTACCCAATTACTGTAAGTTACCGTAGTCTACTAATTATGATGTGAACGCTTACTAACTCAATTTTGCGCAGGTCCGTCATCTTGAAGCTATCATGCGTACCAGCGAAGCTTTCGCGAAGATGCGCCTATCAGAGTACTGCAACTCGCAGGATATTGACCGCGCAATCGCCGTGGCCGTTGACTCCTTCGTTGGCTCGCAAAAGGTCAGCTGCAAGAAGGCGCTGGCAAGAGCATTCGCCAAGTACACTTTGGCACGGCCAGGTGCAGTACGGAACCCATCTCAACGGGCGTCAGGTGTCAGGGTCGGCGCCTAGATGGATTGGAGCTCGGTGATTTGATAAAACATAGTGTTGTGGTATGGTGAATGGGGTTATTGTATGATTGGATGACTATCCTCTATGGGTGAGCGGCGTCTAGGACGGGGTTGCTACAGTGCCGGCCTCCTTAGCCAGGTGGATTTTTTATGGCGAGGATATTTTAAGGCCACCGCGTTGCGTTGTTGTGTGGCATTTTATGTAGCAGTGCAAAATCTTTAGCGATTCAATTTACACCAATTCAGTTATTGGTTGACAGTGGAATTATTGGTATGGTCAAATCTAGGTGCAGATGACTTCAGAACACACACCATGCAAACAAAGGAACAAGCGTAGGTGATTCGAGCATTCCAACACGCAGCAATGCTCAACCTGGAATGAAAGGTATACCAACATTAGATATGGATTGTTCCATTAGGTAATGCCACTATGTTGCTCTTTGTTTCTATCAAGTTCACCAGGGATTCCGGCATCGGATTTGCGACGTTGTTGGAGGCCGTATTGATACTTTATATTAAAATCTTATGCCGGGCGAGAAAGTCGCATCTTATTGCACTTAAAGCCGTCAACCGGGACTAAATCAATAATTTGATGTACCTAGGCGGAGGCATTCATGTCCCTCTCACCGCTCGGCCACGACTAAGTCACCCTGGCCTGGCCCAGGACCAACGGCCGCCAAGATATCCGGCTGGAAGACTAAACGTAGATCTTCAGCCTTACCAGGCCTCCAACAGTAGCGTTGGTTCCCAACATTGAACTATGATCTCATGCTCGTCGCCGATTGACAATCTGAAGATGAAGAAACGTCGCGGAGAGGCATGCTTGCCCAGCCACACACAGCAGCAACAGGGACCGGGTAATTTTCGCGAAGGCTCTCATTGCCCAGGGGGAGGGAGCGCAGCACTGACCTAAGCTTAATGACGTACGGTTAGTTTCCGCCCTCAGGGCTGATGAGCAGGAGCGTGTTGGTGCCGAGAATACGTGGTATGTACATACAATAGGAGTAGCTGAAGGCGGATTTACAGGGGCTTTTCAGCTCCGCTCCGCCCCCGCCAAGATGCGTATCAGGCGCAGTGCATGTGCGCTTGATGTTGTGCGGCAACGGATATCCGACAATACGTAGACCCTGAGTCAGTGCAATAGTTCCTACCGGCCCCATTCCCCCTCCTCTACCACAACAGCCAGCTTCGGAGAAAATAACGTCAGACGACTGCGCTTCTCAGCTTTCTTCAACACACTTCTTTTTCTCACGACCTTCATCTCGCAACGAGCCTCACCCTGCCCGGTCGATCTACAGCCCATTACTCGACGTCAACATGGGTTCCCTTGGAAAGCTGCTACCCTTGCTGATCCTCTTCACTGTCCTTGGTTTCATGGCGTACTTCGGATTTCAGGTGCGTTTCAGCTTTTGACCCGCTTCTTCTTTCGCATAGGCCTCTTCGTGACAGACGAGACACAAAGCCTTGTATCGATCATGCACTGACATGACGTCGCCGCAGATCTACCTCTACGCAAATGAGCTTGCCGACAAGGGCAAGAAGAGCATGGAGAAGAAGAATGTCGTCTTCACAAAGGACGGCATGAAGGTCGGCGTGAAGGAGGTGCGCGATGAGGACTATGAAGACAAAACGCAGAGGTAATTCACTTGCGCGCCACCAATGCTCCCCGAGGCTGACGGTCCGCTGTTACAGTTTTCTTGTTAAAGCCTGGAACCACTCGTCCTTCCCGGCTTACAAGAGCCGCCTGGGCTGGAACAAGCCTGCCCAGAAGCAAGCTTGAACTGTCCCGCCGAGCTTCTCGTCATTGATCTGCGCGAGTGTCCAGTCCGGCGGATACTGAACAATGCTTCAGATCTTCTTCGCTTTCCATTCTCTCGGTCGACCGACTCGCATTCCCTCGGCACTGATACCCCCGTTCTTTCATACCAGTCATGGGTAGGGTGGCTGCAAGACAGCAGTGGGTTCTATCTAGAATGAGGCGTGCGGGGTGGCTCACATGCTAGCCATTTCGCAGCGCCAAGGCTTCATATTGACTCTGATAAAAAGTCCATTGTGTGTTCTTTGACGCGAGTATGCCGCTCTTTGTCTGCTTGTGCTCTTGAACACATTTAGGAGTTTTCACTGTTCGACTATTTGATTTGATATACCTAGGAGTATGTGGAAGCATCAAGCATGATAAGCTCCCGGGGGCACAGCTAAGCCCAACCAAGTCTCTTTTTGAGTACCATTGGGCCCCGATAGGCCCATCGACGCCCAGCAAGCACGTCAATTGATCCTGCATCGTTTCTTGTTGCGTAGATCCGGGTCCGATGACGGCGCCTACGCTAGTTAGCCGAGTAGCGTATTACATATAATCATCAAACTATGCTCATCGGTGTGCGGATGATCTTCGTGGCTACATGTTCCGAGAGAAGCAAAAAGAAAATATGAAAAATATAGTTTTACTATCTCGGTACGGGAGCATCGGTTACACGGCGTGATAGATGCGGGCAGCGTGCGGGCGACAATGTCTTGCAGAAACGTGCTTCAAGAGGGTCGACGTGGCATGATGATGTAGCCGTCAGCCGGTGCGGCGGGAGGCCTTTCTGACATCGCAAGTCTGTCTCCTTGGCTGGCTAAAAGCGGACGGCCGTTCAAAGGGCGCCACAGTAGTGGGGTCTTGGGCGGCGTGGGCAGTGCACGGCGGGCTTGTGCGCCAAGAAAGACAGTTGAAAGCGGGCATGCGGTTGCAGGTCTGACGGTGAGTCGAGAGAGGGGCTGCCGGGCAAATGCTATGCTTGACGTGCATGGCTCCGTGCTGCTGCCGTGCGGTTTCATTCGTGCTCTTTGGCAGCTAGTCGCCCCCTGCGAGACAACCCGAAGCAAGCTGCCCTTTGTGAGAGATGGAGATCGGCTGTGAGCGTATTCGGTTGATCCCGCGCCCCCAGTAAGTCCGTTGCTCCTCACCCATCGACCGCAGAACGACCACACGCTTGTGCTGTGGCCCAGCGCATCCCACTCCCGTCATCTCCAAAGCCCGCACCCGCCGTACCGCCCGCCCGTTTGTCACCCAGTCGATGCACGCTCCCACATCCACGCGAGAGCTTCAATGAAGCTCCGGTAAGGCCAGTCGCGATTCGGTGGCCTGTCGCAGTCCACCACCTCGAGGTCCTACCCGCTTTCAGTCAAGGTTTCGGCCGTCAAGGTCACGCTTCCTGACACCGCCGCCCTTAGCATGACAATGACGAGGAAAGAGAATGTCGGACGCCATGGATCGACGGACAGCACTGGCGCGGAGAGCTGGAGGTCGCAGGATACCGTACGAAGCAACAGTGTGAGCAGTCGAAGAAGAGGCACGCCGATGAAGATCAAGACGGATAAGCAACCGCAGTATGTGCGCTCCCAATGCTCCTTTACTGCACAAAGCCGCGTGCGAGGGTCGCGTCGGAGGGGTCTAAACCACGTCTGCGCGCGGCGCCGCGTCCACGCCCATGTCTCGCGCCTTGAGGCCATCGACCCGAAACAAGCTCCGGCATCGCCGACATTCTGGCTGCTTGCTATGCGCTTGCCTGCAGAAGGCGCCGTATAGAATCGCGGGTTAAAAAAAAAGTGAAGAACTAAGAAACAAAGATGCCGTAGCAGCGCATGCAAACGCGACCCTCCACGTGCCCCTTATTCCGCCACACTCTCGTATCTTTTCTAGACGTTTCTTCGTGTCTGAAAGCTGACAGATTGCGGTGGTTCAGGGACGATGATGGCGACAAAGATAACGAAATCTCCCCGGGCACCACCTCCCCAGAATCACAACCGTCGAGACCATGGGAACGCCCGGAACGTCGGAGGGCAGCCGACTTCAGCAACTATCGGAAAGACCTTGCTGTGCTCGAGTTGGCCGGCAACAACCTACCGTCGATCTCTCGGGTTCCGCCTACGGCTTCTGCGTCAACCCCACCCTGGGCCACGTCGAACGGTTCCAGCAGTATGGCGTCGAGTATCTTCCCTGGAAGTTTCTACAATGATTCCAATGAGGATATCCCACAGCTCTCGCCAGGCTTCCGGCCCGGTTCTGGCAGGACAGATGATGTCGCTTTCCCAGGCGAGGACAGGCGGCCCTCTGTCGCAAGCGCAACAACAGTCAGCAGCTCAAACTCCCGGTCGAGCATTGGCCGGGGCTTCCACAAGAAGCTTCAAGGCTTCTTTGGGGATGAATACAATGGCTCGGAATCCCGGCAGGGCTCCGAGGCCAGTCTTACCACAAATGCTGGTGAAGCTTCTCGGCAACATAGGAACCGGAATAATTCTCTCCACAATACCACCGCAAGTAGCACTGGCAGCAGGCCAGGTTCCCCGGCAAGTTCGCGGCCTCGGACACCCCTACCTTCCAGCGATATAACACCTTGGGAGTACCAAGAGAATAAGGTAAGGTTGGATTCAGTTGTTGAAAGGTTTCAAAACGATGTGCAAGAACAATTGTCGATCGCAAAGGGCGAGCAAAGTGAACAAGTTGGTTCATGGTCTCCCAAGTATACAATCTGGAGGCCGTTGCTCTTGCGACATTTTCTTTCCGGCTCCCCTGGGTGGCAGTTACTATTACTATATCTCCCTTATGCGCTCCTGCCAGCCTAGTCGCTAATTGTTTCCACTCGACAGGAAACCCCTTCTTCCGGTCTAGATAGGGATAGGTTGCCTTCAGACCAACAGTCGATAAGATCTACAAAGACGACACACTCCCACAAACTTCCTTTCCATGGCCATAGGCACCACAGAAGTAACGACGAGTCCAAGCCGACTGAGACAAGCCACGGCGCTCCCCTACGCCCCGTTGCGAGTCGTGATGAGTCGTCCACAGGCTACAGAGGACGCCAGAACGACTTCAGCGTCCGCGCAGGACTTGCTATGACATCGAAAGCTGCTTTAGGTGCCCGTTCAGCAAGCCCTACTGGAAGTACGAAGAGCGGCAAAGAATCCATCCAACAAAAATCTCCGGGCAGCGCCATGGCAGGAAAGCGATCTCTATTCGACAAGCTGCGGAGAAAGGACAAGGCAGAAGGTCGTACTGGTCTTGAAGGATTGAGAGATCTCCCGCAATCGACTGTCTCTCTTCAGCAATCCATCAAATCAGGAAAATCCTCCAAGACTGATCCCGCCAAAGGTGATCTCAAGAACAAGGTCCTCGTCCAAGGAACGCCTGGGTCTCTGGGCCAGCCGTATGTGTCCTATGAAAAAGACAAAAGCAGCAAAAAGGAGGGCGGATCTAGCCGGATACCGTTCAAATCGAAGCGCGGATACGCTGCCGACCAGACGCCTCCTAGTAAGGATCCAAACGACGTCCAAGCTGATATCACCGGCAATGAAGCGCTGTGGAACCTTGACACCGACCTGTCCCATATGGAGGGTATCATTAACCCTCACCAGGGTCCCATGACCCCGCCGACAGGTGAACCATTTGCTGCTTGGCCAGATCACGATACTACCAAGAATGAAAAGAAAGAGACGGAGCCCGCTACTACAGGTGTTTGGGATGCGCCGGATTCCTGGGCCGTGAAGAGGGTCGGCGATGATGCCACTGCTAAGTTGCCAGAGCTCGATGAGCATGGCAAGCTTCCCAAATTTGCCGACCAAGGACCTCCTTACTGTGTCCGTATCTTCCGAGTTGATTCGACGTTTGCTGTCCTCTCCGTCGGACTCTATGCTACTGTTGCCGAAATCATTCTGATCCTGGGCAAGAAATCGTTCTTGCAAGATGAACTGGGCAACTACCACATCGTCATGCGTAAGCATGATACATCGCGGCAGCTGGAGCCAGCAGAAAGACCTTTGTTAATCCAAAAGGCTCTGCTCGAGCAAGCCGGATACATGGAGTCCGATCGGATAGAGGATGTCGGAAGAGAAGACAACAGCTACCTCTGCCGGTTCACCTTCCTACCCGCCAAGATGAGTGGATACTCCAGTTTGGAGAAGGATCCAGGCTTTAGCAAGATGCAGAAGTTCAGCCACATTGATCTTCAAGGCCGCAATCTCATCACCATCCCTATCACTCTCTATCAAAAGGCGACAGAGATTATTTCGCTCAACCTCTCGCGCAACCTTTCCCTCGATATACCGAAGGACTTCATTCAAGCTTGCACTAATCTTCGCGAGATTAAATATACTAGCAACGAAGCAAGTCGATTGCCGCCGAGTTTGAGTTTGGCCCAGCGGTTGACCATGCTGGATGTCTCGAACAATCGATTGGAATCGTTGGATCATGCTGAACTGTGGAAATTGCAAGGCTTGTTGAGCCTTCGGTTGTCGAACAACAAAATCACCGCGTTGCCGAGCTATTTCGGAATGTACAGGGCATTGCGAAGTCTGAACCTGTCGTCGAACTCTCTGCAGGAGTTTCCGGATTTCCTTTGCGATGTCACCACGTTGGTCGACCTGGATATTAGCTTCAACTCCATTTCGAGCTTGCCAAAGATCGGGCAGCTGACTTCTCTTGAGCGGTTGTGGGCCACCAATAACAAGCTGGCCGGATCATTTCCTGACGATTTGAGGAACTTGAGCAACCTGAAGGAGATCGATGTGCGGTTCAACGCTATTGACAATATTGACATCATGTCTCAACTCCCTAACCTTGAATATCTGATGATCGGCCACAACTCCATCTCGGCATTCGAAGGCTCTTTCTACAAAATTCGGGTGTTGCACCTCAATCACAACCCTGTTACTCGGTTTGGCCTAAACTCGCCTGTTCCTACCCTATCGGTTCTCAACCTAGCATCCGCGAAGCTGGCACAACTACCAGAAGACTTGTTCCGGAAAGTCTTGGGGTTGACCAAATTCATACTGGACAAGAATCACTTTGTCTCACTCTCTGCGGAAATTGGTAAACTGGTGAAGTTGGAACATCTGAGTCTTGCAAGGAACAACATCGACCGGCTGCCTCCTGATGTCGGGCGACTTACCGAGCTGCGTTACCTAGACGTACGAGAAAACAACCTGAACGCGCTCCCTCAAGAGATCTGGTACGCACGCAGGTTGGAGACCTTGAACGTCTCCTCCAACGTGCTAGACATATTCCCAAAGCCCGGACCTGTCGTACCAACCTTCCCGACTGATCCCTTGCAGCCGCAGCCCGACACAACTCCTAGCACGACTCCAGGTCTTTCCGCTACACCAGGAGGACTTCACCCCAACCCCAGCCTTGAAGATCTAGGCACACTGGAAGATGTTGCACGCAGGCCCAGCGGAAACTCAGGACTTCTTACCGTAGGAGGCTCACCTGGAGGAACGCAAAGGAATGGCTCTGTGGCTTCAACTTATGCCTCCAGCGGAAGAAAAGCGTCAACGGCCTCAAAGACCACTGAAGGAACATTGACTCCTGTAACAAGAAAGGATTCCAGTTTGTCAAACCGGATGGTTACCACTTTTGCTGGATCTTTGCGGCATCTCTTCCTTGCTGACAACCGCCTCACCGATGATGTCTTCGATGAGCTGGCGTTGTTGCCAGAGCTGAGAATTGTCAATTTGTCGTACAACCTGATCTACGACATCCCGCTGCGGAGCATACGCCGATGGCAACATCTGACCGAGTTGTATCTCTCTGGGAACGATCTTACTTCACTTCCTGCTGAGGATCTCGAAGAGGTGACATCTTTGAGGGTTTTGCATCTCAACGGAAACAAGTTCCAAGTGCTTCCGGCGGAACTTGGTAAGGTCGCGAAGCTTGCTGTGTTGGATGTTGGAAGCAATTCCCTCAAGTACAACGTCTCCAACTGGCCATACGATTGGAATTGGAACTGGAACCACAACCTGAGGTACCTGAACCTTTCTGGTAACAAGCGACTGGAGATTAAACCAAATGGGTCGTTTGCTGGCCTAGCCCATGGTCGTGAAGGCAAAGACCTTACCGACTTCACGTCGCTGACAAACCTGCGTATCCTGGGTCTGATGGACGTGACATTAATGGTTCCTTCTGTTCCGGACCAGAGTGAGGACAAGAGAGTCCGCACTGCCGGATCAACTGTCGGCACCATGTCTTATGGCATGGCAGACAGCCTGGGACGAAACGAACATCTCTCGACGATGGATATGGTCGTTCCGAGATTCCGAAGCCATGACGACGAGACGCTATTCGGGATGTTTGACGGTCAGGCTCTACCAGGCGGCGGATCGAAAATCGCCAAGTATCTCTACGACAACTTCAAGGTCAGGTTTGCCGATGAGCTCGATCGATGCCGGCCCGGTGAGACCGCTGTAGATGCGCTCAGAAGAAGCTATTTAGGCCTCAACAAGGATCTGGCAGGCGCCGCAACCGCTTGCCAAGACAAGGGCGGAGCTGCGGCGGTTATCCACCGAACCAATGCTCTACCGGATTTGAGTGAGGAGGACCTCAATTCTGGAAGCGTCGCGACCGTTGTCTTCTTGAAAGAGATGGAGTTGTATGTCTCAAACGTTGGTGACGCTCAAGCTTTGCTCATCCACTCCGAGGGAAGCCATAGGATCATAACACGGAAACATGATCCTGCCGAGCCAGGCGAGCGGACTCGCATCAGGGAGGCAGGAGGCTTTGTCTCTCGACAGGGCAGACTCAACGATGTCCTCGAGGTCTCTCGTGCCTTTGGCTATATCCAAATGTCTCCCTCCGTTATCGCTGCGCCACATGTGTCCCAGATCAGTCTACGTGAATCGGATGAGATGATCTTGGTTGCTTCGCGCGAGCTCTGGGATTATCTTACGCCGGATTTTGCTGTCGATGTTGCTCGCTCCGAACGCGGCGACCTTATGCGCGCCGCGCAAAAGCTGAGGGATCTTGCCATTGCTTTCGGTGCTACCGGGAAGATCATGGTCATGTTGATTGGTGTCAGTGACCTACGGAAGCGTGAGCGTGCTCGGTTCCGGACACACAGCATGTCCATGGGCCCGATTGGTCCTCCCGACGAATGGCTCCTTCAACGGCAACGCAAGCGCCCTCGTGGAGGCGATGTGGCCGATTCAAAACTGGCGAGGCTCGACCAAGAGGTGGAGGCGCCTACAGGAGAGGTCAGCTTGGTGTTTACCGATATCAAGAACTCCACCCTGCTGTGGGAGACTTACTCGACCGCCATGCGTTCTGCCATCAAGATGCATAACGAGGTCATGCGCCGCCAGCTCCGCATCATAGGAGGATACGAAGTCAAGACTGAAGGTGATGCCTTCATGGTTGCTTTCCCCACCGTGACGTCGGCGCTGCTTTGGTGTTTCACGATTCAAAGCCAGTTGCTAGATGTGCAATGGCCACAAGAAATCCTCAACAGCGTCAATGGTCAAGAAGTGGCAGACTCGGACGGCAACATCATCTTCCGTGGTCTGTCGGTGCGTATGGGTATCCATTGGGGCACACCCGTGTGCGAGACCGATCCGGTGACGAAGCGTATGGACTATTTCGGTCCTATGGTCAACAGAGCAGCGCGTATCTCGGCTGTTGCGGACGGTGGCCAGATCACAGTGTCGTCTGATTTCATTGCCGAAATCCAGCGTCTGCTTGAGACGCACATTGAGACGGACAGGTCAGGCTCTGCCGGCTCCGAAGATGCTCTGGGTGATGACATGACAAGCCACGCCATTCGGCGAGAATTGCGCTCGCTCAGCAGCCAAGGTTTCGAGGTCAAGGATCTTGGTGAGCGCAGGCTGAAGGGTCTTGAAAACCCCGAGTACATCTACCTCATGTACCCGCATTCCCTCGCCTCCCGTCTCGTCGTTCAACAGCAACGTGCCGAAGCGGAGAAGGCACAGGGTGCAGCGGCGACCAAGATGCCAGATAGCCAACTTACCATCAACACCGAGGATGTGTGGGCTCTCTGGAACGTTTCTCTCCGTCTAGAGATGCTTTGCAGCTCGATGGAAAACCCTGGCACCACAGAACTCAAGGCGCCCGAGACTGCTCTGCTCGAGCGTATGAAGACCCGTGGCGGCGAGATCACCGACCGCTTCTTGATCAACTTCGTTGAACACCAAATCTCTCGTATTGAGGTGAGCAACCACACATCTATTAACGTTATAATAACTGCTAACATTTCTTCCAGACCTGCATCAACACTCTCAAACTGCGTGACTCCGTTCGTCCTTTCAAGGACGGCATGCTGAGCCAAGCCTGTCCGATGTCCGACATCTTCGCAGAGCTTGGTGCTCAGCTGGCCGAATTAAAGCAGCTGAAGGCTATGGGCGACACTCTGGACATGGAGCCATCGTAAACCGAATGGCCATCATACCAACACACCGTTGGCTTGCAATATTGCTATCATCATACCCACATCGACCGTGTCTAATATTAGCATCAGAATTATGGCCACAGAATGTCATCAATTTTTGGCCCAGCAACAAGGGGTGGCTGTTGAAGACCATCAGAGCCACAATCAATCTTGTTTAACAGGTTATCACCGCATTGCGTTTATCCGAATTTACAATCTCTATTGCACCTTCCCGTCATTTGTACCTTTACGCGCATTCCACCGTCATTCAACTGTACCATCATCGGCGTCTGGCACACGTGGCGGCGTACCGAGCTCTCAACTCACGACTGCGAGAAATCTGCTCGCCAAACTGTATCTTACTCCGGCGTGGGGCATGGGTGCGCACACGCGCGCGACGCTGTCACGCACACTACTGCTCGACTGACACCTCGGCGTAAACCGCGACACGATAGCCATGCTTTTTATCGGTTTTCCACAATTTCGGGAGCAAGGGGGAGCCAATGGCGTCATCTTGCTGCAGACTGCCGCTACTCTTGCGGCGGTCACCTACAGGTTGCTTGGTTGCTTGCTTGCTTCTGGGACAGGGGCAGTCTTTGTTGTTTTTTCCTCGCTCTCTGTTCTCTGTCTGTGTTTGTTTGTGTTTTTGTTTTGCGTTCTTATTTTTCCTCCTTGTTTTCTGTGGTCTGTTGTGTCTATAGCTTCTGGGTTGGAAGCTCAGAGAAACCAATTGGAAAGGAAGGGACAGTAGGAAAGTTGTCACCATGAAGCGATCACTGTTGACTTGCTTGCTTACTGGGTCTGTTTTTTGTTTATTTGTGCGCCTGCGCAGGGCGGCCTGCGCGGGTGGCTGATTGGGAAGGCCCCTCATCGTTCGTGCTCGGTCTCCCACACTTCTTACTTGCTTGCGTGCGTGCGTGCTTGGCTGTATTGGAAGCTAGAGGCTTTCCTTGGCTCAGGCTTGATGCTCATTACAGATGGCAGATCCATCGTGCTTTTGGACGATAGTGTAAGCCGTGTCTGGCTTTGAATCGATTGTTTGATACACTACTGACTACTTCTACCACTACTAACAATTACCGTGAATCTTCCTAAGGGAAAAGGGTCTAGTCACGCACAGAAGCGCTATTCACAGTATGCGGTAACGCGTGCCCTTCGCCCCATCTCAATCTGACAGGATGTTCAGATATTAGTCTTCATGAAGGAGAAAACACAGGGGTATAGAGACAGAACGTAGAAAAGCAAGTCTGAACGAACTGAACTAAACCGAAAAAGAAGACAAGAAAAAATGAAGGACAGGTCTCTAATGACCGTTGACTTCGTTACGGTCCTTGTTTCGAACCAAGGCATCATTCTGCTGCTGAGGCACCTGTTGCTGCTGCATCTGCGCCAGCCAACTCGGCGGGGAGATGCCAGTCTGATCGTTGATGGTGCTAAGAAGGGGCGGCAGGCTCTGGAAGAGATTCCTAATCGGAGCCGTGGAGTCCGCGCCCTCAGCCTGAGCACCCGTGTTCCAGACATTGATCTTAGGCTGCATGCCATGGATAGCCTGGGCATTAGCGCGGGCAAGAGCCTCGTACGTGCCATTCTGCAACATGAAGTACTGCATGAGGCCCTGAGGCCCGCCGAGCACGTTAGCCAGCTCGCCATACGCCTTGGCCATCTCCGACAGGCCCTCGGCCTCGCGCTTCTTGGTGATATAGGCGGCCTCAGCGGCCTTTTCGGCTGCAAGCAGCTTGACATCGGCGTCCTTGGACTCGGCGTAGAACTGGGCGTCGGCCTGGCGCTGGCGACGCACCACCTCGGCCTCGGCCTCCTTGGTGATGCGGAAGAACTCTGCCTCGGCGTCGGCGCGCTGCTTGTACTGCTCGCCGTCGGCGGCCTGGCGCTGCGAGTACAGCTCCGCGTCGGCGGCTTCCTGCTGCGACTCGCGGGCGATCTTGGCCTTCGTGACGGTGCTGGCGCGCAGGCGCTCCAGCTCCATCTCGGCGCGCTTCTGCTCCAGTCCCTTTTGCAGCTCGGCGTCGCGCGACTCGGCGGCTCGCTTCGCGTTGATCCGCGACAGGTTCAGCTGCTGCTCGATTTCGATCTCTTTGCTTGTGAGCTTCGCGTCCGCCGTCGCTTTTTCGCCTTTGCGCTCCGTCTCCAGCACTGCTGTCGCCGCGTGGATCTTGGCAATTTCTTGCTTCGTCTTGCCTTGCTTCTCCGCTTCGCCGACTTCACCCCGCATGCGTGCGTCCGCGACATCCACTTTGGCTTGGTTGAGGGCGCCCTCGTGGGCTTTGCGGCTCAGGTATGCAAAATACTCGCTGCCGGGCGTGTCTTGGAGCTCCTTCACGTTGGCGTTGTAGATCCTTAGGCCGAATTGTTCCAATTCTCCTTGGACGTTTTCAATGACCTTGGTCTTGAACACCTTTCTCTCGCGGAAAAGCTCTTCCATGGTCATTGTCGAGACAATTGAGCGGGTCTCGCCCTCAATGATACCTTTAACGATGTCTTGCACATGGTTTGTTCCTGCCTGCACATTCTTCATAGCGCCTTTGGCACCGTCAGACTGCCCCGACAGCAGGATGGAATATTTAGTCATGGCGTTGACCTCATCGTGAGGACCGATGGTGAAGACTGCCGGTAGCGAGAACTTCAGCTTTTCTACCGTCATGGCAGTCAGAGCCATGGAAAAGTCAAAGGGAGTGACAGAAATGGTGATGAATTTCTGAAATGGGAAGATGAATGCTTTCTTTGCGATTTTGACTCCATCAATACCAACGCCGGTGATGGCGAGGTAGGAGTTGGGGTCGGCTACATGGTACCTGTCAAAATGAGAATGCGGGCTCAACTCCATAAATCATAAGATTGCTACTTACCACATGTTTGGAATTCTTATGGGGGCTTGCGGAATAATTGTATCTTAAAGATCAATGAAAGGCGGGATATTGGAGGCATCCAAGTGAAGGGAAGTATGCTAAAGCAAAAGCAAACAGACATGGGGAGATTTTATACCTTCCCTAGTCGTGGCTTCTGAAAGCAACCAATTGCTGCGGATACTGCCTTACGGAAAAGCAACATTGCGGCAAGGCTGACCAGGCACCCAGTGTCGCACCGCAGTGGCTTGGCGGCGTGTCTTTGTCCGGGGCAACAGTCCACCTGACCGTGGTCGCCATGCCGCACCCGTGGTCCATCGGGCGCTAGTCTCCTTTCGGCAACCAATGCTCAGCACTGCCACTTCCCTCGTCACTGGAACAATTAAAACCGCTCACTTCGCCCCTCCAAAACACTTTCTTGTAGTGGAGATCGCATGCAAGCTCCTGGTGTTGGCTTGCCGACTCTGCCGTCGCCAAGGCTCCGTTGCGGGTGTCTGACCTCATCTCAGCAAGACGCCTGACCATTTAGCTCACCGGACCACCAACAGCACCGTGGCTCGTACTTAACTGCTTCGCCTTGCATGCATTCCTCGTCCTTACGGATACAGCCGCATATTGTTCCTCTGCTGCCTGCTACAACATGGCAACTCCATCCAAAGACAATGGCGCACCGCCGACCTATGAAGACACGGTTTCTTCAGGCCCAGACTTCGGTGGCGCTTCACATGGTCAACAGATTATTGACCAGTTAACGACCGTTCGAGCAAGACATATACGATCTGTTCTGGATGAGCATATCTACCCAAGGCTGAAACAACAAGCCACGTATGGCATCGCGAAGACGACGATCGCTATGATGCCTTCTGATGTTTTAGGAAGCTCATCGTCTTTAGGTGAGTGCTCACCGGACAGGTAAATAAAACAAAAAGTCTAATACCCAAAGCAGACAGTCCTAGTAATGTATTAGAAATGATCGGGTTCCCATCGGACGAAGTTGTACAGCAATTGCAGCTTGGGGGTCCTTTGAATCGAGGAGAGTTTTGGCAGCAGACGGGTGTCATCGGAGATCTCGAGAGAGCCTTGCGGGACCGGCTCGCAACTACACCATTTACCGGAACTATCGATAAGCCACAAACGCCTACAATTCAGCCTGAAAGTCCGCGGGCAACGTCGCAACGGAGGGGCTTTTTTGGGAGAAAGTCTGTGAAACCAGAAACCCTGGTGAGTCATAGTACAGCAGTGCCGACTGGTACACCAAGCCAGTTGAAAGCACTCGTTAGCTTGGAAGAAGTTTGCTTTAGGACAGTATCAGATTTCGGCCTCTTTGAGACTGTCAGTAGACCAGCGATTGTGATCCGCGTGAGCATGGGGCTATAGTCTCTAGGATAATTTAGTGGCATGTCGGATGAATTGTGAGGGATCGCGAGAGATATAGGTATGCTGTAATTCGTAAAAAGACAGTTGCTTCCTGAGATGGCAACAACCCTCCGTAGATAACGCATGTCCTATCATCATGGAAGTTACAGTGACCTGGCCACAGCTGGCTCGGCAGCATGTGCACATTTCGATTTGCTGTCGTGTACACAATAGCGAGGACGTTGTACATGGCTACTCTCGACCGGGAAACAGATACTGAACGGATAGAATATACACCCGCGAGATGTTGCTGAGTTATGTCATGAGGCCTTACTTGACAACCTTTGTGCAGTGGTAGCCAAGGCACTTCAAGCAAGCAACCCCTGCGCTAGATTCTTGGCTACTGACCTTAACCGTGCTCGAATTCCACTTCCGAAGCTTGATGATACCATGTTGATGTCCACCGTACGGGCCTCATAACTTCATGATGCTTCATGTCCCTCGTCGTTCATGTAGCGCTTGGGGATGTTTGATTCCCATTTGCTTCATTGACGGCCGTGCCCAAGGCGTTGCATGCGAGAAGCTCGAAGCTGAATGAGGTTCGACAAGGCTCTTGATGGGGTGGTAATGTCGTAGCTCTTTCCATCCGTTCAACTTGTCACTTTCTTCTCGCCATTGGCATCGAACCCGAGGTTGTCGAGTTGACGAATGAGCTCATTGATGCGAATGACCTTTTCGAACTGCTCTGGCAGCAAAGCGTCGCCCTTCTCTTTCTTGTCTTTCAACTCGCGAGCCTGGCGCAATCTTTTTGTGAGTTTCTTGGCTTCCTTCTCCTTCTCCGCCTCCGGGTTCGGCGGCTCCTGCGGGGCAGCTTCCGCAGTAGTGGCGCTGTCTTTTGTAGAGACATTAGGCTCGGCTGAGTTGTCTCCAGCATCGCCGGTAGCCGCAGCCTTCTTCCTGGCTTCCCTTCTCTTTGCGTTTTTGTTGGCAGCCCCGCTCAGCTGACCTTGTGGCTTCGATTGGATGGCTTCTGCGCCCGGCACCCCGCCCTTGCCTCTGTCCTTCCATGCTTGAGCCGTGCGATTCTTGTAGAGCTCGACATCCTCGGGGGGACGGTAGCCGGGACGAACGCGAATCTCTTTGCGCACCGAGCCGTCGGCACGCACCGAAGCCGGGATATGACGTTCGCCCGTTGCCGACGTCGTGATGCCCGACTTTGAGACGGCAGGTTCGGTAGGCATGGCGAAGGCTATGATTGATTTGGAATGGCGGTTGAAGCTGCAGGTAGATAGTTGATAACTAGGCAAGATCGATTACCACGGTCGAAGGGGGAGGTAGCTCGTGGCCGTCGGGGAAGGTGCGAGTTGGGGAAAGATGTCGGAACGCGGTGCTCTTGGAGGAATTGGAGTTGGCACGCCGGGGCGCGGCCAGGCAGCCCTTTGGTTTGCTCGCGGTGTGCTGTGGTGAATTTGGGAGGTGCTGGTTCATGGCCATGGTGTCAAGCGTCGGCGATCTTTGAGCCGCATCAGCTTGCTGCAAGCCGATTCGCTCCGCGCTTCATCCCATTCAACCTCCGAACAGCAACCTCAGCGACCACCACCAGAACACCCCCACGCCTCTCCGCTCCCCGCACCTTCACAATGTCTGGCGTATGTACCCACGATTGATGTGCATTGATTGCGCGACACAGTACTAACCCGTCAATTGCAGATCGCCTCCGGCCTCTACAAGCAAGTTTTCTCCGGATGCGCGGATTGCGAACCCCATCGCTGACTCTCCGGACAGCTCCCTCTTCAGGAGGAACACCACCATGCTCGGCGCCGTCTTCCTCAGCGCCTTTGGCATGCAGCTGTACGTATAGCACTAGAGGGTCGGCGTCATGGAAGTTTAGATGGGAGACTGATGGGCTGGCACAATAGGGCCTTTGACACCGGTTCGGAGAGGGTTTGGGACTCCATCAACAAGGGCGTAAGATCAACCACACTGTTGCCATGGTGGCATAGGCTCACAGGCTGACACTTTCTACAGCGCCAGTGGAAGGACATCAAGGCCCGCTACGTCCAGGCCAGCGAGGAGGATGACGATGAATAAGGTGGCGGCGCACAACATGAGAACACGGTGATTCAAACGAGGTGCGGATGTCCCGTTTGGAGTTGCTAGAGGGTTGAACTGTACATTGTGTATGATGGCCAGAAGGACCATGAAGAATGGTTGACAACGTCAGTTTCCTTGTTTAACCCATTGTGGCTCTGAAGCGTGAATGAAAGCATACGTTTTAGTGGTAGCCATGGAGAAGCCGGCGCGCCGGCAACCCTCGCTGAGCAACCAGAAAACTCCATGCATGCAAATACATAGCATATGAGCAGTTTACACTGCATTGGTGCAGCTGTGGAAAGTGCGGGAGCCGTGGCCCTGACAAATGCTCTGCCCAATAAGCGTCCTGGGCAGGCATGCTTACATGATTCAAAACGCAGTGACGCATGTGGACGGCCTTGCGCGGTTGATTGACATGCCGTCGCTTGTCTGCCGCCCGCGTCTGTTCACAGCTTCTAACTACTCTACCTTCCCACCTATCAACGCCACCACCTGCACATTCCCGACAGCTCTGCGACCACCAAACAGAATAGCCATGAGCGCTCAGGATCCATAATTCTACCAACCCCACATAGTCGCGTAAGGAATTAAGGCGTGGGTGCGCCTGCAGAGGAATCCTTATCGCCTACCCCACATCTCCGTCTGGCAGTCGAAGCTTGCTCTGAGCGGCTAAGCTATCACTCCCGGATCGACAACCCTTGCTTGGGCAAATATGTTTGTTCCTGCACAAGAGGAACTGCTTTGCAGAAAGCTCCGCGACCTCCCTAAAAACTTCGACAACCGCTACACCGATGCCGCTCGCCGCGATCTCATTGAAACCCTCTTCCGCTCTCTAGCCGCCAACCGCGACGACTACCTTCGCTACTTCTTCCCATTTGGATCGCCGCCGTCGTCGCAGGCCTGGAGCTTACGGGATGCACAGGGCGCCGTGGAAGGAGCAGAATACACGGCCGCCGCGAGGGGACATCCATGCGGACATATCTTCAAGAGCGGGGAGGCGACATACAGATGCAAGACCTGTACTGTCGATGATACCTGCGTCTTGTGCGCAAAATGCTTTGACGCCTCAGACCATGAGGGTCACATAGTCTACGTCAGCATTTCGCCTGGAAATTCTGGTTGCTGCGACTGTGGCGACCCGGAAGCATGGGTGCGGCCAGTACATTGCAACATCCACACCGCGCTACCAGGCACCGAATCGAAGGCCGCTGGTAAAGCCAAGGAAGCGTCTTCATTACCAGATGATCTCCTTGAGAATGTCAGAATGACCATAGCCCGGGCTTTCGATTATCTATGCGACGTTTTTTCATGCTCCCCAGAGCAGCTGCGGCTGCCGAAGACAGAAGAATCTATCCGCGAAGACGAGCGACTATCCCGGCTTATGTCAAAATGGTATGGAGGCTCAGACATTACCGAGCCGGACCAAGAATTTGTTCTAGTCCTGTGGAACGATGAGAAGCACACAGTCAACGATGTCGAGAACCAACTAGCTCGGGCCTGCAAACAGACGAAGCAATTCGGGCGTGACAAAGCATACGAGGTTGACGATGTTGGTCGAAGCGTCGTGATATACTCTACAAACGTCAAGGACTTGCTACGAATGGCTAAGATTGTAGAAGAAATCAAGCTCACTGTGACCATCAGGTCTGCAAGAGACACCTTCCGCGAACAAATGTGCGGCACCATTGTGGAATGGGTTTCAGATATCGCTGGATGCAGTATAGGGACTGACGGCCATGTCCTCCGCAACATCATCTGCGAAGAAATGCTCAAGCCATGGCGCATGGGCAGCGAGGCCCATCACGCTAAGATTGGAAGGGATGGAATAGACGACCATGAAGCTGAAGATGCAGAAGACGAATTCCGTTATATATATGGCCGGATTCTCCCGCGACGACGCAATATTGTAACGGTAATCACGGCAACAAACCCCGATGAAGATGAAGAAGATTGGGATGACGAGGCAGATCCTCTCGAGGAACTTGAAGCTGAAGGCGAAGAAGATATGGAGATCGACGACATTCTGAACGAGGAAGGCGATGGCGACGTGGATATGGAGGGCTCCGACGCACTCGATCAACTGGAAGATGCCGAAGCAACCTTTGCAGGCTACCCACCGCCTCCACCTCCGCCGCCACCTGCTCCACGAAGGAGAGATCAGATACACACACCGGCCGATTCGGACGGGGAGTCTCTTGCCTTTGACCACATGTTCGCAGAAGAAACGCAGCCGATGGAAGTCCCTAAAACGCCCAGGATCAGAAACAGGAGCCTGCGGCCTCCGAGACCGGCAAAGTATTGGCAGGAAAAGCCAGAAGGATACCATATGCGAGCTGGCATTCCCGTTCATGAGGATCTGTGGCAGAGGGTGCGCCTAGACTTCTTGATCCTCTACGATCTGCGAATGTGGAAGAAGGTCCGGATAGACATTCGGGATGTGTTCATCAGTACTGTCGTAACGATACCATACTTTAAACGGGTCCTAGGTTTGCGCTTCGCGGCGCTCTACACCACATTGGCCCAACTTTACTTGATCGCCGACAGAGAACCAGATCACTCCATCATCAATCTGTCTCTACAAATGTTAACGACCCCGTCCATCACGGCAGAGGTCGTCGAGAGAGGAAATTTCCTTACCAATCTCATGGCGATCCTTTATACTTTTCTCACGACACGTCAAGTCGGCTATCCTTCTGACGTCAATCCCTTGGCCACTTTGGCTTTTGACGCTGGTGCCGTCACGAACCGTCGAATGTACCACTTCTTCCTCGATATGAAGTACTTGCTAGGTTCAGAGCATGTTCAGGAAAGAATCTGCCAAGAGAACAGATACTTATTGCAATTCCTTGACCTTGTCAAACTGCATCAAGGAATTTGCCCCAATCTCCGTGCTGTTGGAGAACATATCGAGTACGAAACAGACGCCTGGATTAGCGCTTCCCTCATAACACGGGAAATCAACAAACTATGCCGCCAATTCTGTGAATCTTTCAGGCCCGAGCTGGATTCGGACTTTGCTTATGTGTCCCGGGCAATAAGGTCTACTGCTAAAACGGTTATCACCCACTCCTTGGGTGCAGAACGTAGACGGTTCAACCAGGCGGAGTTAAAGGGAGAAACGAAGTTCAAGTCTTTGGAGCCCTTTGAAGCCGACTCAAAGTGGGGTCCCAAGTACAAGGTTGTCGATTTTGTTGTTGAGAAGGATCACATGAGTTTCCACCATGCCTTGCACTATACCTTGTCTTGGTTGATTGACCGTGGCAAGGCTATGCCGCGTGAGCAGCTTTTGGGCCTGTTGCTGTTCTCGGTCCAAGAACTCAGGGATTTCCCCGCACCGCCAAGGATACTGATCCCTGATTATCAGCCAAGTGAATATCTGTTGGCTTTGTTCGACTTTCCCCTCAGGGTCTGTTCCTGGTTGGCACAAATGAGGGCGGGAATGTGGGTCAGAAACGGTATCACTTTGCGGCACCAAATGACCACTTATCGTGGCGTTACCCAGAGAGACAATTCCCACCAAAGGGACATCTTCTTGTTGCAAGTGGCCTTGGTCGTTTGCCCGACAGCTGAGTTCCTGGCGCAAATGATCGTCAGATTCGGCATGGAGAACTGGGTCAGAGGCAACTACGAAGTGCAACCGGGCTGGGAAGATTTACAGACCGTTGACGTCGCTGAGGATTTCGTTCACCTGCTCATCATTCTGCTTAGCGATCGCTCATCTTTGATTCCTCCGGATGAACATCACAACCCAGTAGCTGCCGCGGCGCGTCGCGACATTGCACACACGCTCTGCTTCAAGCCGATGGCATACTCCGATTTAACTTCGCGGTTCTCCGAGAGACTACAGGACTCGGACGAGTTTGGTGAAATTCTCACTGAGATGACGACTTTCCGTCCTCCAGAGGGCCTCAACGACTCCGGCACCTTCGTGCTGAAGGAACAACACATTGAGGAAATCGATCCCTATGTTGCTCATTACAACCGAAACAGCCGGGAAGAGGCCGAAAACATCTACAAGAACTACATGGCCAAGAAGACCGGGAATGACGCTGCCAACATCGTTTTCGAGCCAAAATTGCCTCAGATTCAGAACGGAGTTTTCAAAGGCATCGCGAGCTTTACTAGACTTCCTCTCTTTGCTCAGTTCATCTACTACTTCCTTGGTTATGCGCTCGCATCTCCCCTCTCGACGCCCAACGTCCCCATGACCCGCGTGGAGACGTACGTTCAGTTCGTGTTGCAACTCATCGTGGTTGTGGTTAACGAGGAAGTGACATCTTTGGGCACCAACGGCATACTGGAAAATAATCCTGGATCTTTCATCAAGTTTGCCCTCACGAAGGACTTTGGTCCCGACAGCAACCCATTTCCCACCATCCTTTCCTTGCTCCGCACCCTCTTGGAAAAAGAAGAATTCAAGTCTTGCGAACCGAAGATCCGCCTGGTTCTGTCCCGGTTCCAACAAAGATATCCGGCTGCGTTTGACACGGCAATGCCTGGTGACGGCATGGATGTTTCCTCGCCTGCAGCGACAGCTGCGCAAGACAAGGAGCTGAAAAAGAAGCAAGCCCTAGAGAGGCAAGCACGGGTGATGGCTCAATTCAAAGAGCAGCAAACCAATTTCATGGCAAACCAAGACATAGATTGGGGAGAGGGCGATTTCAGCGATGAAGAGTTGTTCGACACCCCTGCAGCACAAGAAGACAAGATATGGAAGTATCCGTCAGGTACTTGCATCTTGTGCCAAGAGGAAACGGACGATCAACGCTTGTATGGCACCTTTGCTTTCATCAGCGAAAGCAATATTCTCCGGCAGACGGACATTCATGATCACGACTGGCTATCAGAAGTCGTGAACACACCTACGAACTTGGATCGTTCTGCAGAAAACATTAGACCTTTCGGCGTTGCAGGCAAAAATCGCCGGACGGTCGAAAAGACGACGTTTGATGGAAAGACTGTCGTCACGGAGCGCCAGGATCTCGGCAAGGGTTTCCCCTGCTCACAGGTCAGGCGCGGTCCAGTTAGCACTGGTTGCGGGCACATCATGCACTATTCGTGCTTTGAGGTCTACCTCCAAGCAACTCAGCGGAGGCACATTAATCAGATCGCACGGCAGCATCCTGAGCGACCTGAGCATAAGGAGTTCATGTGTCCCTTGTGTAAGGCGCTCGGAAATGCTTTCCTGCCTATCATTTGGGATGGCAAGACAATCACATATCCTGGTGTTCTCGAACCAGAAATCTCATTCGACAACTGGCTGGAGTCGCACGTCAGCGTCCAAATTTCGAAACTTGACAAAGGTCCTGAGACACGAGCTACGGAAACGCCAGCTGCTCTAGCTCGACAGTCCAACATGTTCTTCGAGTACGGAAAAGAAAACATCATCTCTCAGTTGGCCTCGCAGTTGTCGGATTTGGCGCGTCCTGGTGTGCTAAACTTGTCGATGCCTGCCAGCTCCGGACCAAGGTTTCCTCTCCCGGGCTTCATGCCACGTCCTGATGAGGATCCTCTGAGAGACCCATTCCCCGTTGGCGAAGGTAGTACAAGCACTACACAGGTAGCCCCGACTGTGGAACTGGTCAGAATCTACCAAAGGCTGCGGGACACTATGAGGCAGAACAACCTTGGGACTCTTTATCCCTATAGCCTCAGCCCGTCTATAATTACCGATGATCTGACGTATACGGACACACTGGCCAAGTCGTTGGGATTTTCCATTTCGGCAATCGAAATTGCTCAGAGAGGAGTCGAATCAGATGTTGGCTGCACACTGCTGGACAAGATTTCAGCGCAGTCCTTGACCCATCTTAGGGTCTTGTCTGAGACGGTATCTTCTTATCTCGCTATTGGAGTCATACGCCACCAAGGCTCTACGAAGACAAACACCGAATTTTTAGAAAGCCAAAACCGTCAGCTTCAGCAGTTGATGTTTGGACACCCGCTTGTCGAAGAGACTCCATCTCCTCTGAGCAGCAAAGCTGTTTCGCCGCTCTTGCAACAGGATCCGTTCATTTTCCTTGCGGAGTCATCTGTGTGCCTTGTTCCCGCATTGCGGTTCGACATCCACCACGTTATGCGTCTATGCTACCTCGCAGAAATCGTCAAGGTGATTACTACATTCGTCCTGGCTGAGTCTGACGTCCTAGCAAGCGTTCCTGCGAGTGACGAAAATGTCTATCGCGAACACGCGCCCAGTTTGAGCGAGTGGCAGTTGAAGTTGTTCACATCTTTTGTCAAGCGCATCGTACAGGACAATCCCGAAGCTGCTATGAGTGACGCAACGCGCTATGCGGCTCTCTTCCACTATTCAAGCACAAACTTCATGCGCTATCTGCGTGTGCTTGTATCATCTTACGCGCTTCCATTTGTCCGCAAGGCCATCTTACTGATGCACGTTCGTTATGGCATTGAGTACCCCGACGCTGGGTATGATTCCGGTAAGGAGCCAGAGCTGCAGAGACTTTCCAGGGCTTTGCGGTTGCCCTCACTTGATGAGATTTTCAGCTCGTACTTGATGGACAGTCCTGCGAGTATGATCACTCGCTCGATTGCTTCGGGCTGGATCCAGCATTGGGCCCTCTCCAAAGAATCCAACCTTAAGCGCAAGCCGTTGACTCTCAGCCACCCTGCCATCTTCGAATTGGTGGGCCTGCCAAAGAACTACGACACCTTGACCGATGAAGCCATCAAGCGCCGGTGCCCTAGCAACCCCAGCAAAGAATTGACGGATCCTTGCGTCTGCCTGTTCTGCGGAGAGATGTTTTGCAGCCAGGCCGTCTGCTGCATGAAAGATGGAACGAGAGGCGGGTGCATGCAGCACCAGGCAAAGTGAGTACATACTTGAAGGGCTCGGTTTACATTTATTCTAACATAGACTGCAGGTGTGGAGGCAACGTCGGCCTGTTCATCAACATCCGCAAATGCATGTTACTCTTCTCGCATTACACGAACGGCAGCTGGTTCGCTGCACCATATCTCGACAAGCATGGAGAGACGGACATGTCTCTGCGTCGGCACCATCAGCTGTACCTTCACCAGAAGCGGTATGACGCTTTGGTGAGGAACGTGTGGCTGAACCACCAGGTGCCATCCACCATTGCCAGGAAGCTCGAGGGTGACATCAACAATGGCGGATGGGAGACCATGTAGCGTGAGGGTGCACTCGGTGATGGGGCGAAGAGGGGTGTGGGGCATTTGATTGCGGGCTTGGGTAGATCTTAGCCCCAAATCGGTAACCGATGCGGCAATGCATCATCAGGAGTTTCAGGGAATCGGGATAGGTGTCAGAATCGGGACATTCTGGCTCGGTTGCCGTTATTGCATAGGAGTGTGTATGGTAGTTTATCGTAGGGCAATGAAGCTCGTGACTCTCCTAACTGTTCTCATGATCATGACATTGTCGGTCATCTCGGCTACGGCGGTAGACGTGATTGCCATGGCGACGGCTGTCCATGCGACATGGGTATCGGCGGATTCGGCTTCCAACTCGGAAAGAAGAGAAGAGAAGAGGGGGAAAAAAGACGGCGCAGCGTCCAGACTCCAGAGTCTTCTTCGCAATTCCGTCTTTTGGCCACCGTGTGCATGCGGATGGATGCTGGCGTCGAGTGGAATGGTGGCTCAGCTGTCCCGTGCGTTCTGGATGACTCGACCGGGGCGATCGGCCGCCGTAATGGTATATTTGCCTCCCCGCTGACCGAGACCCGCCGAGATATCATCAACGTCAACAACCAGTCCCTGACCTTAACTACCGCTTCGTTGCCAGCTGTTCATGGGTTCTCTTTGACGCTGCTCCACTGTCACCCGCTTTGATCTCGCCCACAGTCATGTCAATTCGCTTGACAGCCACATCTTCTGAGCTTCACTGTACGACGCATTATCGCCCGAAGCTCCATCTTCTAGAGTATGCTGACCGCCACCATGCAGTTCCCTTACTTTAGCACACAGAGCGCATTCAATTCCTCCTTATGACTGAGCCCATTAATTCGCCATCTCATTCCTACATGTCGCCAGAATCCCGCAAGCTTGATTGGGGCCTTACTCAGGTCTCCGACCTCATCAACACCCTGTCGCTCAAGCCCTCAGCCACCGGCGCCAGCACCACACCTCCCGACACATTGCCTTCCAGCAAAACCAAGAAGGCCCAGAGCGATGACTCCGCGTCTGGTTTAGGCAATTTCAGCAAGCTATGGGAGTTCCTTGGTGCCCCGGTTGACGCACCGCCCCCCGCTTTGCCACCGCCCACCCCACCAGCCTCGGAACCAGAACAGAGCTCTGACAAGGAAGCTTACACGTCCGATGGCGCGATATACCGTCCGTCGGGCAACAAGGGTGTCAAATGGCGGGACGGGGCGGGCGGGCTAGATGTCATTGGGAATGTCGTCGGTGGCTTCTCTCAGCTGGCAGAGGTTCCTGAGCCTAGCAATGAGACGGAACCAGCTGCTCCTAAAGATCCAGCTGCTATGACAAAGACACAACGAAAGAAGGCGAATCGCAAAGCTCGAAAGCTAGCTGAGTCTTCAGAGGAAGCAGTCAAAGCCAAAGCCGCCAGCGATTACGAGACCGACAACCCAGAGCACCAAGCACCAGCTCGTAAGGCTAGCGCGCATGGCTTGGCCTCGACAGAGCAACTATCGGCAAAGCCTACTCACGGTTACAATTTCAGACCGCGGATGCCCCAACCAACGCCATCCACCCCCCAAGTTACAAAGGCTACCAAGACGCCAAGAGACTGGCAGCACCAACCGGTGCCGGCAACGGAGCCCAAGAAATTTCCTAATTCGAAATCCACTGGAAACGTCCCAACTCTCTCGAAACCCATTCCCATACCGGGACGATCGGGTCACCTCGATTCTTCGCCTATTCCCTTCAATCTTCACAAGTCTGGTCAGGAGAGATCCCAGGCCGGGAACTCGCTTTCCCCCAAGAAGAACAATTATCTTTCTCGTACACCTCCACAGCAAACCGGGCTGCAGGCAGCCACTTCTCCAGCTCCTGCGGGTTATGAATCTCCTTACATCGATGCTATTTTGAACCAAGCACCGCTGTCGCTTTATTTCCAGAGCACGGGTTCGCCGAATTCTCAGTCAGAGCCTAAGCAGCTCAAGATTCGCGATAAGGATGACCGAAATGTCCATTTCCTTCTTACTCTAATTCGCAACTTTGGCGAAGATAAGCACTGGCTGGCCAAGCCAGTGCAGCACGTCAACCATACGTCGGCACCTGATGGTATTCACGTTTTTATTGACTTTTCCAACATTCATATCGGATTTCAAAACCGCATCAAGACGATTCGTGGACTGAACAAGCATGTTCGCATCCGCCGCGAAAACATTGATTTCGACGCCTTTGTGCTCCTTATGGAGCGCCGGCGCCCCGTCGCCAAGCGTGTGTTGGTGGGCTCGCTGCCGGCGATCCCGGCCTTTGAGAAAGCGAAAGACATCGGCTACGAGACGAACATCCTGGACAAGGTGTTCAAGGCTCGGGAGCTGACGGAACGGCAGAAGTTCTTCAAGGCGCGTGAGGATGCGCAGCGCAAGGGCTACCATTACAGCACGTCGGGCGACGCGAGCAGCGGCTCTGAAACGACCGCTGCGGTCGCGGCGCAGTATGCCAAGGAGGCGTGGGTCGAGCAGGGCGTGGACGAGATTCTGCACCTGAAGATCCTGGAGTCGGTGGTGGATGCAGAGGAGCCGTCGACGATAGTGCTGGCGACTGGCGACGCGGCGCAGGCCGAGTACAGCCAGGGCTTCATGCGCATGGTCGAGCGCGCACTCAAGAAGGGGTGGAAGGTCGAGCTGGTCAGCTGGAAGGACGGCATCTCGAGCCAGTACCAGAAGCGCGAGTTCCGCCAGAAGTGGGGGGACCGTTTCCGCATCATCCAGCTGGATGACTATGTCGAGGATTTGCTGGACACTTGAAATAGTGTGCTAGTGCATCTGCCTCGCGTTTCCCTTTTACGGTAGCATTGAGAGGGGTGTTTTTTTTTTTTTTTTTTTTTTTTTTTTTTTTTTTTTTTTTTATATCATCGTACATACAAACCACCAC